ATACTTGAACTTGATGAGTTGAATGTTAATTGATTGAAGTGAGAGCGTACTTTATCACTCTCACTTATTGTTTCATGTTATTGGAATGTTACATGAAATGTTACATGAAATGAAAGTACTTGATTGGTGTCGATTGGACGAGTATCCAACGACTACAATTGTTATCTTTGAGCTCAACCCATTGGTAGTTGATTGAATCGAGCCGGCGAGGGCTTGGTCGTGCCAATTAATGATCCTTGGGGAAAGTGTTATATGGAATCTTGTAGTATGAGAGACTCTCGATTCCGGTATACTCGAGTAATACCACAGTGCAAGTGTTTGGAGTTCGGGCCCGGTAGGGGATGTTAGGTGGAAGGAATGGAAGTAAAGTGGAGTCTACGGTTGGTTACTTTTGAACATTGACGGAGAGTCAATGAGATCCGATCAAGAATGCAAACGAGGAAAAGGGCTCTTGAGAGCCACCCGTATCCTTTTATCACTCAATTGAATGTGCCTTGCTTACTTTTGATGAATTGAAATGAAAAGCTTTATGCTTATGTGAACTTGTTGCTTGAGTAGTATTCTCACTGGGCAATTAGCTCACTCTATTCCTTTTGTTTTCCTTACAGGAAAATAACTACTTTTGGACTGCAATTGATAATTGGTTGCCGAATGAGCTAGTTGGACATATCTTTTGTATAGCTCATTTATTGAAACCCTAAATGTACTTTTGGGTCTGTTTCTCTTTTGATTTGGCAAACCATACATGTATCCACTTTTGAATACTTTTGTATGCAACTTTGGATTGTAAATACTAAAGTTCAAGATGTGAATGTTTGCTTGGTATTTGGTTGGGTTCTGACGGGTCGGTTACTATTCATGGCCGACTCCGGATTTCATTTTTTTTATTTTGGGTTATTTTGCCATTTTGACTTGTTTACGCGCGTTTGTAAGTTCCGGAACGCAATAGATCGCTCTAACTGCACCGTTAGTCCTGGCGAGAGTTGGGCAGGCAATCCGCTAACCCCTTTGGTTCGCCTTAGGGAAGGTGGGGCTGTCACAGGGTAGTACACTCACCAAGTTTGCAAATGGTGTTTCATGCACTACCGTCAAAAGAACGTCGTGAACCACCGTCACGCCCTAAAACATGCAAACAATTACAATGAGACTCGATAACGAGTCATAAACCAATGCCAAACACGACCCCAATAGGGTTCCATAAAGCATATACAAGCATTAGGGAAAACCAGAAAATCCGGAAATGGCATTAGCTTTAGCCCTGAAAAAAAACAGTTTTTGACCTCATTTTGCGGTAATGGCACCAAAGACACTACGATTATCGGATGAAGGTGCAAGACCCACCGTTTCGAAGCTAAGAGATAGGGCTACAATATTGCAAAAGGTCAATCAACCCAGTTTCGAGTGTAACCAGGTCAAAAATGCAAGATACTACACCAGAATCACAAAAACAGATTCACAGAACGCATTCTAGCGGAAACATCATAAATCAGGCTATCCAAGTCCAAATCCAGAAATTCCAAACCAGCTGAAAGCTAAGAAACAGGGCTACATTTCATCAGAAGGCCTCAACAACCAATTCGGAAGCAGTCCAAACCCAAAATAACCAATTACAGAAGCAATTATCCAATTCAGGTAAAACCAGAACAGCAAGGGTAATTTCGACTTTTCTCAAGCTACGCTACCGATTGACCTGAAATTTTGCAGGCACCTCTAAAATATCATTCCCTATAACTTTCATGTTTTAAACCAAGGCCAATTCGACCTCTAACTAGGAGCTACAAAACCGGGCAGAATGTTATCATCATAAACCCTAACTTTCCAAGATTTCTTCCAAAACAGAAATTGTTTGCAATTAACCACTTTTTCCACCTCATAGAGTCCTTAAACATCATTTCCAATCATCATATATAGCCACACAATCATGTTCATATTAAAACAGAAAAATCCCCAAAAATTATAAAACTTCATCAATTCAACCACAAATCAAGAAATAATCCATAATATTGCATCTCATACTACCACTAAGCATGATTTAAGCATCAATAAAGGGAGGAGAGTGGTTCTTCACAACTCACCTTAGAAACAAGAGAGAGAGAGCAACAAGTCCTCTTAGTTTTCCAAATAACTCCACACAATACTTCACTATCACTCCCTTAAGTGGTTTTATGGAGCAAAATCAAGGTTGGATGGTTGAGTAAGTTGATTGAGCAACATTGAAGCCAAAATCTTGAAGAGTTTTCTTTCTTTTGTTGCTCAAGGAGCTCGGCCAAGATGAAGAGAAAATGGTGAATTTTTGGTTATTTTTTTGATTTATTTGGTCAATGGTAAGAAAAGGAATAGTAGTCTTACTTAAGGACCAATCCAATGGTGACACTTGTCACCTCCATTAATGCAAGTCTATCACTTTGTTTCCTCTCACACCAATCAAATTGCAACCTCTACTTATCTCTTAACACCCGGTAAATTAATTCCAGTATCCAAAACTTAACCTAGTTGGCCGAATTTTTCGAACTTTTCGCACTAGTGGGTCCCACGTCCAGTATACGCTCTTAATTTCTCAAAACCTATTCGATACTAGAAAATCATCTAAAAACTATATCTGCTCCTTAAAAAGATCTAGAATTTTTCCTAATCACGAAAATGCAGAAAACAAGCCATGAAAGATAATAAAACCTAGAAATGGGAAAACTTACGGGTTCTCACAAAGTATCAAGTATTTCGTTTCAACAATGGCACTGGTATAAACTACCGGAATCCTAAGTGTACTAGGCAAATGGAAAAGTAACTAATGGGTCTGTGTCTTGATAGTAGACTTTGGTGTTATAGTTAAATCAATTGAGATCAAATGGACATTCTAGTGAAGCTTTAATTTACATCACCCGCTATGCCAAGCATTTTACCATGTAATGCTTTTTCAGCATGACACTATACAGTTTTTACTTCACAAAAGTTCTAAACCAATGTGCCCTCAACCTCAAGCAAAACAAAAAAAAAGAGCACCTACAAGTATCAAAAGAAAGAAGCACATATCTCAGTCGACATTATGTGCAGATACGGTTTAAAGCCGAACAGATCATTTGAAAATTAAAGATCTCAATTGGGAATTTTTCCTGTGCTAAGTAGAGAAATAGACAATGGTAAAGGAACAAGTAATCAAGGTTTACAGCAAATACAGGCTAAGTACATTCAGCCATTCTTTCTCTCTAAGATCGCAAGGAACATTCAGGATTAGTTTACACCCTGTTCCCAAAGTTCTAGCCTCTTATGATAGACCAAAAATTCAGGAGTCTTTCTTATTGTTCAAAACCTAATTTTTGGTTAGGATAATTTAGAAACCTATCCAGAGGTTTCAGACAACTTTCCTTAGCACCACTGTGGGTTCAAATATCACACTGACCTCCTTATTTTCACTGTTAACGTGACAAAACCTAAAATCTGCTGATCAAAATACGGCAAAAACACAAAATTCCTACTGAAGATCCTAAAACACCCTTTCCTCATCTCTATCAAAATCAGAAACAAAAAAAGTAAAGGTAAAAAGCTCCCTGACCTATATCTCTCCCCTACCTCCAGCTAATCACCACCCCTTCCCACCAATGTTCCACATTCAATCTTCACCAGTCTTCCTCTCCTAACCATCCAAATCCCAAGATCCAACTCTTCATTGGCCACAAACTGTGCCTAGCCATTACCCGTCCTCAACTATTGGCCTTCTGTTGCACTGTAACACTCTCTCCCTAAATGCCAAACATAAAGAAAGCAACTACCTCACTTCTAGGACCACCACCAACTCAATAAGTCAGTTGCTTCCCACAAGTTTGATTTGACCTGTTCTTCAACCAAACAAACAATCTGTCAGGCTCTAAAAGCACAGAATTATTCAATTTCACATCCTTTTGCAAATTATCAGAAAATAGTCAACAGAGGCAAAGAGCCTGCAGTTCACAAGAAGGAGGAGGAGGAGGAAAATTGGAATAGTGTAGTGATATCAGTGGTCTGAATTTAAGGGTCTGGGAAAGGTTGGCTTTCAGATGAGATGACAGTGCAATTTAATTGGTGAGATTGAACTTTTTCCAGAGGCTTTGTGATTATAAAGCAGTGGTTTGGGAGAAGTTGTAGTTCAACTGAGGTCTTATTCTCCTCTCTCTGTCTCTCCTTTTTTTTCGGTAGGCTGAAAGTTAATAGAAATTGTGAGAAAGTTATATAGTAATTATCTATATGGTTTTAAATTTTTCTTTAATTTTAACACTATGAAGGAGGTCAGTGTAATATTCAACACCACAAGGTTGCTAAGTAAAACTGTCCAAAACCTGAAGGGAGGTCTCTGAAATCATCCCTTTATGATCTATATGGTTTTAAATTTTTCTTTAATTTTAACACTATGAAGGAGGTCAGTGTAATATTCAACACCACAAGGTTGCTAAGTAAAACTGTCCAAAACCTGAAGGGAGGTCTCTGAAATCATCCCTTTATGAGTCTCAATTGACCCCTCTCTCATGCAATTCACTAGCATTTCCTATTATAACTCATGAGGCAAATTACACGGCATAGTTTCGCACTAAAGCAAAGCGCAGCATGTCACCAAATTGTGAATTGAGATTTTAGTGAATAGAATTTCACTTCAACCCCTAGAGGGATCAAATCAGACACAAGGTAACAAACAAGCACAAAAAATGTTCTTTCTTCTAAATGATATTCCTACAAATTAATGATCTCTAAAAAAATTTAACATCTTAACACCATGAATTTGATGAACAAATTAAAGCAAGCAAAGGGTGCATAGATATGCTGCACAATTGTGGGTCAAGCATCAATTATGAGAGATACAGTGAACGAGATCATTTGAACGAAAGCATAGAAAAACAAGCTGACTAAATCCATATCTCCCCTCCACCAAGGGCAGATGTAACAGCAGTATCTCGATTCTACCAGTGCTTAATTAAATAAATTACCTGCTCAAGTGATTGTCGAAACTGCTCTGCACAGGATGCAGTTTTTGAAATTTTTACGGCAGATCTCTTCTTCAATAGCTACAAATGTGGTACAGAGAAACCTTATAACAATAAGCTGCATTGTGGAGTAAAAGATTTCAAGATACAAACCGAATAGAAAACAGACAGTTAGTGAACAGAGGTTAATTCATCCAAAGAATACACCTAACAGAAATTTAAAAGTGCTATATCATAGAAAAGATAGAATTTGTCTCACCTACCAAATTTAGCAAAGCTACATAGTAAACAAGGAAAAGGGAAAAATAATTAAAATTTAAGTGCTATAGTATAGCAAATACAGAATTTGTCTCATCCACCAAATTCAGCAAAGCCATGTAGTAAACAAGGAAAAAGAGAAAAAAAAATTTAATCTAAAAGTGCTATACTATAGCAAAGACAGAAGTTGTCTCATCCACCAAATTTAGCAAAGCTACGTAGTAAACAAGGAAAGCAGGAAAATAATTAAAAATGGAATATAATCATATTAACAAAAAAAAAAGAGTCAAAGAAAACATACTAGAAAATTGAAACAAGCAACACGCATCAAGTGCCTCATGCCATAGATTTGTGCACAAGGTGGACAAATGGATCAAACTAATTCACTCAGGGAGAGAGATTTAAGATGCCCGATATGTTACCTATCATCAGAGCCTAGGTCACGAAGCACAGGCCATCAACAACTCTGTTGTAAAAATATAAAATTTAAACAGGACAATGATATCGTACACAGACTCTACACAACAATGGAGTTCATTACCAAGATGGGCCAAAGCTTAGATTTGGCTGATATCCAAAAGTATTTTAAGGTTAGAGCAAAAGCTTCATATCCTACATACTAAGATCATCTGGAATGTATCTCTACCTTATTTGGTTCTTCACCTTTCTGAAGCTAACATCTTCCACAGAATATACTAAGACCACTTCGTCCAACATGCATACTTACAACCTAACTTCAGGCTAGCGATATGTTTACAACCTAACTTATCAAAACTGCTTATCACCTGCATGAGGCGCGAGAAGCCATAAAATGAATTTTATGTGTGTGCGCGCGCTCCACGAAAATTAACTGCAATTCATTTTTGATCATAACTAGCAAATGTTTCAATAACGATCATACTTGCAATATTTCCTTAAACAAACACAGTAAAATCGTGCCAAATTAACTCCAATTTCATTGCTGATGAAGATTTCCACATCAACAAATAATAGTAATTAAGTACCAAAAGGTTTAATTGAAGAACAATTACAACAAAATAAGCAACAAGTAAATGCAGAATTGAGTCTCGGAATATTCTTTCTACCTTATCGAGGAGGAAATTGGGGTAAAGTTGAGAGGGTGTCAGAAAATGAGAGCAACAGGGGCAATCACTCTTGTTCTGCAAATGAGTTACTATACACATATAGCAAAAACTGTGCCCACATGAAGTCAAAATGCATCCTTAATTATCTGCATACATATTGGGCATAGCAATTCCTTATCCAACAACTCTCCTTCTTCTTCTTCTGTCTTCTCTTTCTCCTTCTCCTCTTCATCCACCTCTCTGACAGCCGCTGCTGCAGCCCTTTTGTCCCTTGTTTCCCCTTTGCAGCCGGCACAACTGCCCAGATGAACTCTCCTCCATTCCCCCAGGTTCCCAGTCACTTTTTTCTCCCTAATTTAAGACTTCTCTCAAATGGGCTTTCAATCTTGAACAGTTTTGATGATCATCGCGCTCCATTTTTGCAGCTGGAGAATTTGCTGGGCTTAAAAAGCTTGTGTGTTCCTTTCAGTTTTCACCCTTCTCTGGTCAGATGTAAGAGGAAAATGGGAGTGTGGAGATGAATCTAAGAGGAAATTTGGTGCGGGAGTTTGAGGAGAGTAACGGCCCACGTCAGTTTGATTGCGATTGGAACTGGGTGTGGCTGGGATTACTTTTAAGTTAAATTACAGTTTTAACCTCCTAAATTATGACGGTTTCTCACTTTGCCCCTTAAATTTCTATTTTGGACGTATTACACTCTGAACTTTTAAATTTGTTATAGTTTCATCCAATGTTAATGGGATGAGAAATTTAACTTAATTTTTATTTCCTTCGTGCACACAACGCATTTGATGGTCAGGTCAAATTTCGTCACGTATAACTTATTTCTCGCTTTTACCTTTCATCTCAAAACTCCTAATATCTAGTCATATTGCCCAAGCTATATTGTTTTGAATTATTGTTGCAAGTTGCTGTCCTCTTTACGTACCCATATTTTATTCTGATTTTGATCCCTTTTTTTTTTCAAAAATTGTTCAAAACATCTATCACATTTTACAAAATAACTTTTTTTGTTACTCACTTTAAAAGTATAATTTTTACTTTCTATAAATTCACATTGGTCAAATTAGATCCCTATCTAAGTTTCCGATTAATTTTTTATCAGAATCTACCACGAACTTTGCACGTGACCATTTTGGAAGGGCAAAATTATCAAATCAAATTTTTATAATATCCGAACCATAGTCTCTCACATTTCACAAAATGAATTTTTTCATCTCTCACATTTAATTTTACAAAAAAATTTTTTTCATCCTATTGATCATATGTACGAATAACTTTTTTAAAAAAAAACATGTATATATCTATTTTGATTTCACCTAAACAGTACGAATAGTATGTAATATATTTCTATTTAATTTTGTCTAAGCGTATTATTTAGATGAAATCAAATAGATATATACATGGTATAAAATTGTTATTTTTTCACTCATGTTCATTTCCTTTTACTCAAACTTAAAAATAAAGAAGGCATTTAATTCTAAAGATTATCGAGTATTTATATTAAACTAAATTTGGAAAAAAAATAAACAAAGGAAAAGTGTGACAAAAACAAGTAGTGATTGGCACTTAAAATTTTAAGACAATCACAAGAAGTAATTCAACTATTAGTCTTAAAGTTGATTAGTGGAAATTTTAGATTTAAACTGCACTTTATTAGCATGACTGTAGAATTCGAGTTAGGACCCATTAATTAGATGATTTTATTATACAGCTCAATAAATAAATTATTACCAAAAGAGAGAAGACCACAAATATTGAATAGGTTCACATGGTGAAATCAAATAAATATATACATGGGTTTAAAACAAATTGTTAGTTTTAACCATGAATTATATCTATTGAATAGCATATATACAACTACAATTAGCCTGTCTAGGTGAAATCAAATAGGGATATTACATACTATTCGTACTGTTTAAGTGAAATCAATAGAGAATATACATGGGTTTAACAAAAAAAATTATTCATACACATGATCAATGAGAAATGAAAATATTTGTTTTGTGAAATGTGAGCGATAAAAAAATTCATTTTATGAAACGTGAGAGATAAAACAATTCATTTTTGTAAAATATGAGAGACTATAAATCGGATTATGTAAAATTTGAATTGACAATTGTGCCCCTCAAAATGATTACATGCAAGGCATGTGGTGGATTCCGGCCAAAACTAGTTAGAAATCTAAGTAGGGACCAAATTTAACCAATGTGAATTTATAAGGGAAGTAAAATTATACTTTTAAAAGTGAGGGATAAAAAAAGTCATTTTGCAAAATGTGAACGTTTTGAACGATTTTTCTATTATTTTTTTCACCTCGCAACTAGTTTGTGAATGAGTAGGATTTATATTGAAACCAAAAAAAAAAAAATCAGATTCAAAGACTCAGAAAATTATTGGGTTGAGGTTCAAACTCACATAGAAATCTAATTGGGTGTTTAAAAATCATTATATGAAATTTATATCAATATGGACATCGACAAATACCATGTTTTTCACTACATTACGCAATTTCACACACACATGAAATTCAAGTTCAAAATATCTTACCTATACTATATATAAAGCCTAAGAGGGCTTATGGTGTTATGGCATTTTATGTTATGCCTTTTTAACCTTATAATAAAGGTTAAAATGGGCTAACCATATTAAACAATTATCTTCATTCTTTTCCAAGTTTAAAAAATTTTTAAAATTATTTTTATAACCTTTATAACTGTAAAGCAACTATCAAATAAGCAATTGTTTGTACATTTTAATTTTTGTGAAATCCTCTAAAAAATTACTTTCATAGTGTAAAAATGATTTGTAGAAAAAATCTTTATAAATAATTATATATTTATTAATTGTATACACATAAAGTGTGCCTTAATGCCTAGTAATATATATTAATCACTATATATATATAGACAAACACACAAAAATACAAAGGCTTAATCGTTTTGTCCAATTGATTCTCAACCAACTCAAATATAGTTTGAATCAATCTAATACTTTTGGCTTATGGGAGATCAAATAAAATTAATCAAAACGAGTAAAATCTTGATAAAGTGATGAAATAATAGGTTCCAATGTCATGTCCTGATATTCATTGGACCACATATATCATTATTATATTATATATATATATATTATATATATTATATATATTATATATATATATATATGTCAATCTCAGAGGCAATCTAAGAGGGAGGTGAATTAGGTTGTCCAAACTTAAAATAATATTAAGAAAGTTTACTTCCTTTTTGGACGATTACTTCCTACAAGGAGAATTAGTATAGTTGGATATACAAATTGTAAGCAATGATAACAATAAGTTCAAAATAATAAAAGCTGAAAATAACTCAAATCAAATCACAGCACAAGTTTGAAACCAACTTTAACTTGTATTTACAAACAGCTCCTTCAAAGTAGATGAACAAGTTATACTTTATACAAGGATTCAGATCACTTCTGCTCAATCACAGTCTCTCTACTTGAAGAGAAAGAACTTTTACCGTCACCACTAACCTATCCAAGGTATAAATGTACTCTTCAATCTCACTAAGAAGAGTTTTTCAGTCTTAGCTAACTATTACAACAATGAGTTTCTTGCTTGAACACTCACTAATCACATTTTCTGACTGTTATTTACAAGATTAATCTCAATAGCTATTAATACATAGGAAAATAATAACGTTACAACTAACCAACTAACTAAAATTAATAGCTAATAGACTAGCCGTTATGGCGTTCGAACGGTCATTAAATGTCCCAACTTGCATCCTGTCTGCTTCAATGTGATTAGAATAGAATTATTTTGACAAAGTATTTGGGACAGTTCTTGTGTCCAATTGTGTGTCCTCATAGTTGTTATTTGAGAATTTTGCGACTTCTGCAATTCAGATAACCTTGATGCATTCTATTTTACATCCGTTGACTAGAATATTACTAGGCCTTAATAAGAATATTCGGATAGTGGAAGATTTTATTGAAGTGTCCAATTATGTATCTAAGTAACATGAAATTACTCCTTTTGCGAAACTTTTATGAGACAATTGGATGGTCCAATGAGTCTTAGTATAATTGCTTTGTGCATCCGAAAAGTCTTTATTTATTCTACAACAAAACTTGACAAAATACAAGTGCTATTTGTCATCATTGAAACAATGTGAATTCTGGGGCCTAACAATATATGTGCGTGTGTGTATCTTTATATGTATGTGTGATGCACACACACATATAAACTTAAGTATACGTATGGACAGAGCACCTCTTTGATTTTCGTTCTACTTTGCTCTCCTTCTTCCTTTTTATTGGACACTCATTTGCATAATGTTCAGGTTAACCGCATTCAAAACACTTATCAGTTTGCTTTTTGTTAAATTCTAGCTTCCCTTTATTTCTCAAGTTGTTGGATTGATTCTGGAAGGAATTGCTTGGGCCACCTTTTTTGAATCTCCTCTTGTTGAATATTCTTTTGAAGCCTCTTGTAATGAGTGCAATGTCACTGTCATCGCCTTCCATGTCTTCTCCATCCAGCGAGGCAGTATCCTCTTCATCTTGTGAAGTTTTCAAAACAATACTCCTCCTCATTTTTGTCTTCTTCTCCCTGCACCTTGGATTTTAGTTTCAACTCATAAGAGATTAGAGAGATGATAAGAGATTCAATGGATAGGGGATTCAGATCTTTAGCTTCCTCTATGGCGGTCACCTTGCTCTCCCAATCCTTTGATAGGGCATTCAGAATTTTTCTGTTTTTCTCACCTAGAGAGTAGTTTTTCTCAAGCACTTCTAAATCCTTGATAAGATCATTGAATCTGCAGTACATCTGGTCAATATTTTCATGAGATTCCATCATAAAGGATTCATACTTAGTGATCAGGATGGACTTCTTTTGCTCTCTCACATTCTCGCTTCCTTCGTGGATTTCTCTAAATTTATTCCAAATGTCTTTCGCAGATCTGCAGCCTTTGACTCTAATGGACTCATTTGAATTTAGAGCACTATATAATACATTCATAGCCTTGGCATTTAGAGTAAGATGAGTTCTATCTTCCGCAGTCAACTCACTTCTTGTTTTCGGTCTCAGCCTATGAGTATCATCATCAATAATAGAGGCATCATATGGACCCTCATTAACAATAAACCATAACTCAATATCGATAGATTGTAAGAAAATGATCATCCTCTCCTTCCAACTCACATAGTTTGACCCATTGAACATAGGAGGTCTGGTGACAGATTGTCCCTCAAAGAATATGGCATTGTTCGTTGTCATTTTTACTCTCAA